TCAGCTGCAACAGCCGTTTTAACAATTGATGCGCTTGTGTGGCGGTAACAACATTGTTTGCCTTTTCCCTGGCCTTTCCAACTACTACATGCACGGCTGTCGCCAATGCCTTGCGCCCTTGGGGGTCAGTGGAATGGATACCCATTTAAAAACCTCGCCCATATGGAGGAGGGTTGTCAGAAACACAACCGTACGCAGGTTTATGTATTACCATCGCTCCTTCTGCGTGCTGCCTGGCGTGCAACTGTCGTCACGTGCTTGCGCTCCTGCAGATTCGACGATTTCCTCGCTCCCTCTGGATGGTGTCAAACGCACGTCTGTTTTCACGTTCCTGCGCCCAAGGGGAGGCTGCCACACTCACAAGTGTCGCGTCGTTCATGAGAACGCGGTGGGCAGCACCACGGGGCATTGTTGCCCTTGTCGTAATCATATCAGCTTGGCAGTCGGTGTAGCGTTGGGTGTGGAGATGCATAAGCGGATGAAATGGCATAGATCTCAAATGTGTGGGTTATTGTGGTCCTTTTGTGTTTGAGGATGTGTATGTGTGGAGTTGCAACCATCAGTGGAAAGTGAGTGGTGCGGCCAGAAACCTCGGGGTGGTATTGACGGACGTGTGGTCGGTAGTTTGTTGCGCAGTCCGAAGAAGAAAGTGTCGGACGATCGGATAAGACACCGTGACAATGCAGTGTACACCGTCGCTCTTGATTTGTGTGGTGGTTGATGTGAGATCGGAGCGGTAATGACAACAGTCATTGCCAGTCGCGGTAGACGGCACGGTCAGCAATACCAGAATGAGAACATTGTCCAGGTGGTAGTGCATCAATTTTGAAAGGTTTAGGGAGAGTTAGAGATAGAGCAGTAGACGGGGAGAAAAGGGTAGGGGGGAGGGGTTGGGGAGGTGAGGGCAGGGTGGGGCGAGGATGAGGGATGATAGGGACAGGGTGATGATCTAAATTGGGAGGATGACGAGGACGATGTCGAGGATGGTGATGAGAACTATGAGGGAGGGGACGATCATGAGGAAGTGTGAGAGAGGCAGGCCGAGGGGGCGGATGAGGGTGGAGGAGGGTGAGGCAGAAGGAGGCGGTCCCACCAGTGCTTGCGCTTCGTGTTTTTCTTCATTTTTTTCCTGAACTCTTCTAAGAAACTCTGCCTGGTCGTCGGTCCGGCCGTCTTGTGGCCTCTCGTCGCCGCCCGTCGCCGTCGTCCTTCGTCACGAATTTGATTGTGCAAGGTTCGCACCTCGAATCGCATTGCACAGATTTGCATTGCTTTGCATTGCACTCGTATTGTATTGCATTGTTTTGCAAGTGTTTGCATTGCTTTGGATTGCATTGCATTGTGTTGCATGGCATTGCAATCGCTTTGTATTGTTTTGCATTGCTTTGCAGTGTTTTGCATGGCGTTGCGTTGCATCGGTTTGCATTGCGTTTCAGCGTTTTGCAATCGCATTGCATTGCTTTGCAGTGCATTGCATTGTATTGGTTTGCACTGTTCTGCACTCGCACTGAATAGTGTCGCATTGTTTTGAGCTGTTTTGCGCCACGTAGGTTGAACCACCTTGATTGCATCACCTAGATTGCGCCACATTGATTGCACCACCTAGATTGCACCGCATATATTGTAAGGAATCACTGTTTGGGTCCACGCTGGCCAACATATTCAAAGTAGTAAAACCTGAAAAGATAATTTCAACGACATTGGGGGCCCATTCCTGCGCGAGGAACGCGTCGGTGACGTGGCGTTTCTTCCACGATCGCCCGCTCCCGCTGGTTCATAGAGGCTCGGTCTCTCATCCGTCAAAAGGTCGTGCAGTGAGGAGGGAACAGTCAGCGGGAGTGAGGACGACGACGAGCAGGATGAGGATGGGGGAGGAGCAGGCTCCGTATCAAATGCCTGAAGCCAACGGGCCCGAGGGAGGCAAGGCGGAGGATGAGGGAAATGATGGAGGATGGGCACTTCGAACAGGCTGGTGCCCTCCAGAGGGAGGGCCAGCAGACTGCAGATATAACCAGCATGAGGTGTTGCTCGTGCCAGCCGCATGCGACCATGCCACGACCTCGGGAGCGGAGGCGCCCGTGAGTGAGGTTCGCGGAATAGCGCATTCAACAAACCATCAAGCGCAGCAGCGCCATCGCCATCCTCATCATATAGCTCTGCACCCTCGTCAGGAGCAACGATATGGGAGGGACTGGCCCACGGGGGGAAGCATCGACAACCACTCGTCCATTCATCGCCAATCAGGGCCTATGCCACCCATCCCGTGTAGGAACGTGCTGTTTCGCAATCGGGGGGCCTGCCGATTCGACGTCATCGTCCTTTCCTGAGCCAGTCCCCCCCCATCGACACCCCTCACCTCAGACGGCGCCACCCACAGCTCCATAAGCCTTTTTGGGGCCCTCTGGGGGCTACCATCTCGGTACCAGTTTTGGCTCTCTTGGGCAATGTGTTTTACGTTGCGGCATTATTGAGCCCGCCCGATCTGCCAGTCTGGCATTGCCATGTGTTTTCTGTTCCTAGCCCCCCTCTTGCTACTCCCTCTCGTGCTCCATCCTCTCCCCTCCCGTTTATCCAGTCCTTCTACCCGTCCCCTTATCCCTTGCGTAGGGGCTGCACGAAATGACGGATCTACCCCCAAAAGGGTACGATCGTGTTGAGGGAAAGCGTAGATAGAACGGGTTTAAACACGTTTGAGCGAGAGTTTGATACGATATCCGTTCCGCAGCCTCTTTGGCACACAAATTGTCATGGTAGCGGAGGTGGCTTCGGCCAGCTCCCGCTAAGCGCCCCTCCCGCGGCAGGGCGCTGGCCATAACCCGAGCGACCGAAGCCGGCCAGCTGGCCAGTGGATCCACGGCGGCGAGCGCGGCGCGGCCAACAGGGCCGAGGACTCGCAGATCGATGTGTTCGTGGCCTACGGAAAGCAGACCGAGGTCTTCGTGACCCACAGGAGTGCACGGTCGACAGGTTCGACGAGATTACGGAGCCTGGCGCAGAGCGGCAGGGCTTAGGATTGAAGCCGCCAACATTCGATTGGCAGGGGGAGCACTGGACGGAATGGTCGTTCGTGATGATGGCGTACTTGGGCGCCAGACGGCGCAGGCGCAGTACTTGCCGGAGGCCGCAGAACAACGGGGCGATCCTGACATCAGCATGGCAGAGACGCTCCACAGGCTCGGCGCCGAGGGGGCGACGGCCAACAAGCAGATGTTTTTCGCCTTGGTCACGACGGTGGAACGCAGCGCGCAGATGTTGATCAGGACCGTCGAGGACCAGAACGGCGCTGGCGTGGCGAGCTCTGTCCAAGAGGTACGAGCCAGCAGAGCATCATGGCGGCGATCCTCAACGTGAAGCCGATCCCTTCCGACCTGGCGGGTTTCGTTCAGCACCTCGCGGGCTGGGGGCGCGACGTCAGGAGGCACGAGACAACATCTTGATAAGTGTTCAACACAGGGGCGAAACGGGCACCTACTTGCAGAAGGCGCCGAAGAGCATTCGCACGGTATTGCAGATGCAGAGCGAGAGAAGCTACGACGAGCTGGTGGGCACCACGATTCAGTATCTACTGGGTTCGACAGTGTACGAGGACGGCCACCAGCAGAAATGGCCCACACCACCGGGTCTATCAGGAGACGGCGGCAAAGGTCGACGACAGACAGGGGCCATGGAAGTGGACGCGCTGACGAGACAGTACCCGAAAAGCAAGGGGAAGGACAACCCATGCAAGGTCAAGGATGCCAAGGGCAAAGGCAAGGACAACAAGGACAAGGGCGCTGATCCCATGGCGACAGCAACGGCATCACGACACCAGGCATGGGGCACGACGGGAACACCAGGAGTGAGGCTGTGCTACAAGTGCGGACAGCGCGGGCACTACGCGCGGGACTGTTGGCACAGGGAGAGCAATCCGAATTGCGACAAGGGCAAGGGCATAGGCAAGAAGGGCAAGAAAGATGGGTTCAACGAGATCACGCTGGACAATTGCAGCACGATGAGCACGCCACCTGCGAGCAGCCCAGTGCCGTCGACCGCAGGGCCGTCGTAAAAAGCCAAGCAGGAGCCCGAGCGATCACCGCCGTAAACGAGCCTAAGTGGGAGCAGGGGTACATCTTCGCGGTTACGAAACACAAGAAGCCCGAGGCGTAGGAGAGGAAGGTTTACGGCATGCTGGGGGACGGGATGTGACGCACGTTCTGGATGTTGGCGGACAACTGTGCGGGCTCACGCGCGTGCGGGTTCAGTGACTTCCCGAATGTGGAGATCAAACCTGGGCGGGATCCCAACTTGGCAGTCGCGGGCGGCGCCCCGCTGGCGCGCCGCGGCTCGAAGGCGGCGACGCCCTACATCGTGGGGGACAGGCGGGTCATCACCATGGAGTTTCAGGTCGCCGACGTGAAGAAACCCATCATGAGCACATGGAAGGATTGCAGCATGATGGAGAGATGGGGCCGCGCGGCACGACGGCAAGGGTGGCCTACTGAAGCACGAGACGGCAGGATTGGTAAAGCTCGCGAAGATAAGCGACAACTACGCGCTGGATCTCGGGGCGGAGGTGCGCGGCGACATGGGGGAGGGCCGCAGGGAGATGACGTTATTGGCGCCAGTGCGCGCGGCGGCAGCTGCAGCGCGATCAGGAGAGGAAGACGTAGAAGGGCCGCAGTTCAGCGAGCGCTAGCAGGGGGGCAGCGAGCGCCACCGCCGGGAGAAGAGCAGGAGGTAGTATCACAGGGAGCAGCAGACTCACTGGCGGACGCACCTGTGGAGAGGGGCCAGCGGCGACTCTCGACGACCATGAGGCGGCGGGGCCCGCGACGGCGGCCAGCGGTCTACCTGGGCTCCAAGAGCCGAGCGCGGAGGTGATTGAGAGGCGCGAGCCGACGCACCACCCCGCGGAACCGCGGCGCGAGATCTGCGCCCGGGCGAGGGCGAACGACGTGTCCCACGAGAAGAGTGACAGGCGCGACGAGCGGCCCCAGCTGCTGAGCTTCGACTGAGGCCAGGCTGGCATCGAGGGGGCCCCGTCAACTTCGAGTTCGCGGCGGGCAGCGGTGCTTCTACGGGAAGCGCCCGGAGCGCGGCCATCACAGTTGAATTCTCGTTCATCAAGGCGGCCAGGGCCAGGGCGATCAAGGGCGGCATCTGCGAGGCGATCTTCATGAGGCAGTCGGGGAGGTTCAACAGCCAGGCGAAAGGCAGGGCCGAGAGGGCCACGCGGACGGCGAGGAAGCAGGCGAGGACGCTGATGCTGCAGGTCAGTAAGAAACTGGGCCACAAACTCGAGCCCGAGCCATCGTGCCCCACGCGGCTGCCGGGACACGCGGCGTGGCTCTACAACCGTTGCGCGGCCGGGGCGGACGCCGACCTCGCGCCCTACGAGAAGACCCGCGTGCTCAAGCGCCAGGAGCCGATCATGACAGTCGGCGAGGCGGTGATTTGCAGGCGGCCAGGAGCGCGGTTCAAAAGGTTGGAGCTCTCGTGGCTGGAGGGCATCTGCTTGGGGCGCGACGGGAGGGCGGGCGAGCGCCCGATCGGAACGCTGGCGCGAGCGCGCAGGTCAAGGGCGGTGAAGAGGAAGGTGGAGAGCCGACGCTGGGGAGTGGAGCTGCTCGACGAGATGAAGTGGACACCCCGGGGGCCGACGCCGATGCCGAGAGGAAGACCGCCGACGCAGATGTCGCCGCAGGAACCGATCTCACTTGGACCGCTGCCGATGCACCTGAGCCCGTGGACGGCAGCAGCCGCGGCAGCCGCGGCAGCGGGGGCTGAGGGAGGGCCGCGGCCAGCGCCGCAGCAGCCGGCGTCAGCCGCGGCAGCAGCGGCAGCAGCTTCTTGCGACGACATGGGCATGGACAAGAGGAGGTTGGACGAGAAGAGGCCCAGAGAGGAGGATGCAGGACCGTCGACGCCGAGGGCGGCACCTTGGCAGCCAGCGGGCGTTCCGTCGGCGGCGAGGACTCCCAAACGAGAGCGTGAAGGAGGCGAAAGGGGGCGAAGGCAAGAAGTCCAGGGCCGCCGCCATCAACGCGGTCAATGTGGTCAGGGAGATGTGCGAGGAGCCAGTGGTGGGGGACGAGGAGACGCACACGCTGGCGGGCGATTTCACGAAGGCCAGGCCAGGGCACGTGGAGAAGATCGCAGGCGATGGGAAGCAGATCGTGATGGTGATCCCGATTATCGAGACGACGTCCAAGGTCCTGACTGGGAAGTGGATCGGCGCCGACCAGGCGGGCGGCAGCAAGAAGAGTCGATGGGCCACGAGGGGCCTCGAGCAGCAGGTGCACGGGCACGGGGACTTCGCGGCCGCGACCCCCTCACTTCTACGCCTGAAGGCGATGCTGGTCAACGCGGAGATGCGCGACCACGCGGTGGGTTTGGCGACTGCAGCGGCGTTTTCTACCGGGCGCCGCTCACAGAGGACCGCATCTTCCTGGAGCCGCCACCAGAAGCTGGAGTACCCTAGGGACATGTTTGGGAGTCTCTTCGTGTTTTTCCTGGGTTCAGAGGAGCACCGGGAGCCTGGGGGGGCCGCGGCGCGGCAGCCAGGGGGGTCTAAACATGGTCAGAGGTCGCGGCGACGGATGTCTCTTCATGAAGCTGAGGAACAAGGCGAGGGCAGGAGGGCGCGCTGACGACTTCCCGATCACGGGGCCGAGCGACGATGTCGACATACTGTTGAAGGTGATGGGCGACATGCTGAAGCTGGCAGACGCGGCGAAGCTCGCCAAGAACGGGCGCCAGGCGACTTTCCTGGGCGCGCAGGTGGAGAAGGTCGAGGGCGGCTGCGCGATCAACGGCAAGACGTCCTTGATAGACGACATCCTGAAGGAGCTGGCCCTGGAGAACGCGCGGCCGTCAGTCTTGCCCGATACCTGGAACGAGGTGGCGATGAAGAACGACGAGGTGAAACAGGACGCGGCCGGTCATGGCCGCCGCAGGACGCGCGAGTCACCGCCCAGACATGCAACGCGGAGTGGGAGTTCTCAGCCGCGGCATGGCGGGGCCGGCGGAAAAGGACTTCGGGCGCCTGAAGAAGATGGCACGGCGCTGGGCGGGCGCCAGGAGCTACAAGATGCAGTTGGTCCCTGATGAGCAGGGCGTCGCAGTTCAGCGCTGGGTCGACGCAGACTGGGCCGACGACGAGCAGGGCAAGGTTTCTACCAGCGTCGGCGTGTTACATAATAGCAGGTGCGCCGCCCTGACGCGGTCGCGGCGCCGGGGCTGCGCGGCGCTGAGTTCTGCGGACAGCGATGCGTGCGCCTGGGTTCAGGAGCTGAAGGGGCGCTTGGCTTGGCGTCGCCGCTCGAGGAGCGGCGAGGGAAGACGGCGCCGCGCGCGACAAGCGATACCAGCAGCGCGCTACACATCGTGAAGAAGAGGGGGCCGGGAATGGTGAAGCACGTGGGGATTCGTTTCCCGGCGCTGCAGCAGCGGCGCGAGCGCGGCAGGTCGAACATCGGAAAAGTGGGCACCCACGAGAACCCGATCGATGCGATGACCAAGCCGACGCCGAGGGAGACGCATGAGAAATTCACGAACATGACCGGCTTGGCGCGTTCGTAGACGGAGAGGCTTGAGCCAGGCGGGTGAGAGAATACGTGAGATGTGGAGGTTGCCCGCCCACGTGGGAGGTAGAAGTTTTTCGATGGTAAAAGGATGACCCAGCCACCGCGAGGGCGCGTTGAGGGAACAAGTATATATTATTGGTTTAAACGTTTAAACGAGAGCTTGATGCGCGATCCGATCCGCAGCCTCTTTGGCACAAGAGTTGTCAGATCGAAGACGAAGAAGGTGGGTTTCGAGGATTGTCGATCTACGCGTTGAGTGGCCCTTGAGCAGATAGGAGCGCGCAGTCTTGAAATTATCATTACCACTGTCAAACTATTTGTGCCACCTGCATTTGTGATTACTTTTCGTGGTTGTATTGTTTGCGTTGTTGTTGTGTTGCTGTTGTTGCTGTGGTTGTGGTTGACTTCTTGCCAGTGAAGAGTATGCATCGTGGATCCCTTCCTGTGACCACAGTGCGTCTTGTTTTTTGGGGTGGATTGAAGCGCCCCCCCCCCCCCCAGGGCTCGGATTTTGCTTCATTATCGGGGGAAGTCGCTCGGCCGAAACTGGGTCGTTGCCCCCCGGATTACAACGACAGCGGCGCCCGCCTGAGGCCCCCCGCGATTTGGCCAGGGGCCTTGCCCCCGCCTGAGACCTCCTCGAAATTACTCAGGAATCGCGCTCTCGCCTGGGGTTTCCTTACAACGCATTATGGGATCTCCCCCCCCCCCCCCCCCCCGGCGCTCTGGAGTCGCGCTCTCGCTGGAGATTTGATTGCTTTTTACTCGAATCGCGCTCTTGCGCGGGAATGTCCGCAATTAAGTTATGCGCCGCGCCCCCGACGCTCAGGCGCCCAGGAGTCGCCCTCACGCTTATGATTCCCCCGCAGCTTTCTTCAACATCTGGATCTCGCCCCCCTTCGCGGCCCCGTTGCAGCCCTTCGTGGCCCCGTCGATGCCTTTCGTGGCCCCGCTGCAGCCCGCCGTGGCCCTCTCGCTGCCCTTCGTGGCCCTGTCGCAGCCCTTCGCGGCCTCCCCGCTGCCCTTCGCTGCCCCGTTGCTGCCCTCATTGGCCCCGCCCTTGTCCTCTGCGGCCCCGCGCGCGCATGCCCTTCGTGGCCCCCGTGGGAATCGCGCCCGCCGCGGCCATATATGCGCGCCCTTCGCGGCCCCGCCGTCGGCCTTCGCGGCCCCCATCGCTGCCCTCAGTGGCCCCGTCCTTGCCCTCTGCGGCCCAATGCGCACATGCCCTCCGTGGCCCCCGCTCGTTCGCGCCCGTCGTGGCACGCGGCCCCGCGCGCGCGCCCTTCGCGGCCCCGCCGTTGCCCTTCGCGGCCCCATCGCCGCCCTTCGTGGCCCCATTGCTGCCCTCAGGGGCCCCGCTGTCGCCGTTTCTGGCCCCGCATGTGCACGCTCTTCGCGGCCGCCGCCCGTTCGCGCCCGCTGTGGCCCCATGTGCGTGCCCTTTTGCGGCCGCGCTGTCGCCCGTCGCCGCGACTTCGCTGCCGTTCGTGGCCATGTTTCTGCCTTCGGCGGCCCCGCCCTTGCTCTCTGCGGCCCCATATGCGCGCGCCCTTCGTGGCCCCCGTGGGCGCGCGCAGCCCTTCGTGGCCCCCGTCGCTGCCCTTCGCGGGCCCGCCGCAGGCCTTCGTGGCCTTCTTGCTGCCCATTGTGGCCCTGTTGCAGCCCTTCGCGGCCCCCCGCTGCCCTTCGCGGCCCTGTTGCTGCCTTCAGTAGCCTCGCCCTTGCCCTCTGCGGCCCCATGTGCGCATGCCCTTCGTGGCCCCCGCTAGAATCGCGCCCGTCGTGGTCCTGTATGCGCGCCCTTTTGCGGCCCCGCTGTCGGCCTTCGCGGCCCCCTCGCTGCCCTTCGCGGCCCCCGTGGGAATCGCGCCCGTCGTGGCCCAACATGCACGCCCTTCGTGGCCCCGCCGTCGGCCGTCGCGGCCCCGTCGCTGCCCTTCGCGGCCCCGTTGCTGCCCTTAGTGGCCCCGTCCTTGCCCCCAGCGGTGCGCTATAGTTACGCATTCCCTTCGTGGCCCCCGCTCGTTCGCGCCCGCCGTGGCCAGATGCGCATGCACTTCGCGGCCCCGCTGTCGGCCCTCATAGCCCCCTCGCTGCCCTTCGTGGCCCCGTTGCTGCCCTCAGTGGCCCCGCCCTTGCCCTCTGCGGCCCAATGTGCGCATGCTCTCGCGGCCCCCGCTCGTTCGCGCCCGCCCTGGCTCCATGCGCATGCCCTTCGTGGCCCCGCTGTCGCCCTTTGTGGCCCCTTCGCTGTCTTGCGTGGCCCCGTTGTTGCCCTCGTTGGCCCCGTCGTTTCCCTGTGTGCCCTCGAATTGCCTGGCGTTTGTGGCCCCCGCTCGTTCGCGCCCGTCGTGGCCCCATATGCATGCCCTTCGTGGCCCCGCTGTCGCCCTTCGTGGCCCCCTTCCTGCCCTTCGGGGCCACGCTCTCGCTTTCGCTCGTCGTCGTCGTCGTCGTGGTCGGCCCCCTGTCCGTCCCTCTTGGGGTCGGGCTGCCGCCGATCAGCGCTGCCGCTGGCCAGGCCGACGGTCCGCGGCCGCCCCGCCGATTGCCGGGCCCCGGCTTGCAGGGGATGTATGTGTGTATATATATATACACATACATATACATATACATCCCAAGAAGTGCACGATCGAAGACGAAGAGGGCGGATATCGAGGGTTTGTGAACGAAGCGGCGCATGACAACCAAGAGGGAAAAACATATCAGAGCGAACAGTCTTGACATGAGTGTTGTTGCTGTTGATGGTGTTGCTGCTGTTGTTGGCGATGGTGTTGTTGTTGGTGCTGTTGGTGTTGTTGATACTGATGCTGTTGTTTCTGCTGTTAGTATTGTTTTGTTGATGTTACTGTTGTTGGTTGTGTTGTATCGGGGGAGCGTAAGACCCGGGTTTGCCGGGACTCGGGTTCGCCACCGTTTTTTGACGACCGCGCCTCGGATTTTGACGAGGAGGAGTTTCGTGGGATGTCTGCAGCGGGAGGCCTCGTCAAAATGCAGGCTCGGCCTCGTCATTTTTTTGACGACCTCGTCGGGGATTTCCGAGTCCCCCGTAACCGGGTCTTACGTCCCCCGAGTGCAATTGCTGCTGAATTTTCATGTGGCGAATAATTATTGTTCCCCCCCCTGCCCAGCGCACATTATATTTTTCAATCAAAAAACCCCTCCTGGGGCCCGCACTCTGTTCTCAGGCTCCCGCTCGCAGGCACCCGTCGTGGCCCCATATGCATGTTCTTCGCGGCCCCGCCGTCGGCCTTCATGGCCCCCTCGCTGCCGTTTGCGGCTCCTTATGCTGCCCTCAGTGGCCCCGCTGTCGCCCTTTTTGGCCCCATATACGTATGCCTTTCGTGGCCCCCGCTCGTTCGCGCCCGTCGTGGCCCCATATGCATGCCCTTCGTGGCCCCGCTGTCGCCCTCTGTGGTCTCCTCGCTGCCTTCCGTGGCCCCAGTGCTGCCCTCCGCGGCCCCGTCGCTGCCCTTCGGGGCCCCGCATGACATGCCTGTCGTGGTCCCCGCTAGCCCGCGCCCGTCGTGGCCCCATACGCATTCCGTCGTGGCCCCGCTGTTGCCCTTCGTGGCCTCCTCGCTGCCGTTCGTGGCCCCGTTGCTGCCCTCAGGGGCCCCGCTGTCGCCCTTTCTGGCCCCGTATCTGTATGCCTTTCGTGGCCACCGGTCGTTCGCGCCCGTCGTGGCCCCATATGCGTGCTTTTCTTGGCCCCGCAGTTGCCCTTCGCCGCGACTTCGCTGCCGTTCGTGGCTCCGTTTCTGCCCTCAGTGGCCCCGTCCTTGCCCTCTGCTGCCCCATATGCGTATGCCCTTCGTGGCCCCCGTTGGAATCGCGCTATCGCTAGAGATTGCCCCGCGATTCATGCAGGACGCACGCCTCAGCAACCCGCCAGCTCGACTTGACCGCCTGGGTCCGCATTCCGACCCGCCCATTAGGGTCTACCTGCGCGATCTGCCCGCCAGGTTCTGCTAGGTGTTTTCTTTTCCTAGCCCCCTCTCCTGTTTGTCTCTCTTGTGCTTCATCCTCCTCCCTCCCCCTTGTCCCTTCCCTCCATCAGTCCTCGCTTCCCTGCTTTCGGGGCTGCTCGAAATTCATATTGATTGCAGGTAAGAAAGATATACCCCAAGGGGGCACGATCGAAGAAGGAGAGGGCGGATATTCAGGGTTTGGGGTACACGTGATGAATGGCACGCGAGCAGATAAGAGCGAACAATCTTACATGTTTTGTGTTTTATTGTTGGTGTTGTTATTGGTGTTGTCGAGTTCTGATGTGCAAGGAAGTTGTTATTGTCGATTCAATGGTTCCTCCTAGGGCTCACGTCCTTTGTCTTTTTCATCGGGATGGTGTTGTGTCACCGAACTGG